ATTAAGGTAATATTATTAATTTAATATTATTAAATAAAATACTTGTCACAATTACTTCAATTTTATTCAATGATTATTAAATTAAAATATTATGCAATACAAAATTGTTTATAAATACATAAATGAAAGAACTGAATACTACAATATGCCTTTACAATTTTCACATTTTCAAAAGATAATCATTTACTCTATTTGTACTTTCATAGAACCTCATACTAGTATTTTACTAGGTAATAAAAAATGAAAAAAAATATCAAGCAATGAAAAAACAGCTAAACAGATATATTGATATACAAATCACCTTTAAAAAATTTTTTTGTTAAATAATTAATTAACTACTTTACGTTTTATATTTTATAGACAAAATATTCAAGGATAGTAGATTTCTTGCCAGCTTTAGATTTCTGTGAAAAGGGTAACTAAAGCCTTATATTTTCAGAAGATCTTGACAGTGAATTTATATTAAGGGTATATGAAGTATTCAATACAGTTTTTGCTAAACTTGTTGCAAATGAAACCTTCAAAAAGCAACAAAATAGTTGCATTTCTGAAGTTTGGTAGTATCCAAATTCACTGCAGAAAGAGAATTTACTCTGGAATAGCAAATTGCATGATATTTCAATAATGAATCCCTTTACAGATTTCGTCTTTGCATGTCTAATGGAAATATCATCCTGAAGGGATTACTTTTACTTATCGCCATCACTCATCTTTACGTAATTAGGATTATTATTTTCTCTATATGTAGAAAATCAATTGAAATTAGCTTAAACATAGATAGAAATTATCACACAGTTGCATTTCTGAGTCATATAAATTCTATATTATCAGAAGGAGTATGGTATCCTTTTGGACTGGCATAAGATTAGATAAAATAAACACCTATAATAAAAACGAATATGGCCAATTTAATAGTCTCTCCATCTGCAATCAAAAAGCCTCAAAAAGCAGCTCATAAATGAAAGATACCTGCAGATTATGTATCAATTGATGATAAAATACTAAGAAATTTATGCGATTAGTAATGTAAGTATAAATTATTATTTTTATTTATTTTGAATAGTTTGCTTACTTTTTACTTTCCAGAAAAGAGTACCTTTAAAATAACTTTGAGAAAGAAGTAAAATAGAAACTCACGCTGTAAAAACTGAAAAATTTTAAGAAAAAAAATATCAACTAGAAATCATCACCTCAAGGTTACTTTGAAAAAGTATTAGAGAAACTTAATAAAACAATTAATATGAATAATATGGATATACTTGGTTTATTTAATTGTCTTAAAAAAATCAAAGAACATAATATAATATCAATATAAAAAGAAGTAGTAAAGGAATATTTGACCACTATTTCTCTTTCATGTGATTCTAATTTTAGAATGATCTTGATTAAGTAAGATGATAAAAATGAAGACAAAGACATAATAAATGATAACTACTGTATTGTTACTATTACTCTATAGCAGATTATTCGAAATAACCTTAACTTGAATAATATAAAATAGCAATTAGTTTTTAAACAAAAAGTTCAATTATCAAAATTTTAAATCTTTTTACAATATTATTTAAGAAGCCATAAACATGGTAAATTTGTATTGTTTTAGAATATTGTGATGTTTTATTATTATATTAACTTTTATCAAACATATCAGGTCATTTTAGAAAAGATCTCTTCATTTATAAATAATCCAGATATTAGATGTCTCAATCTAACAGAAGTTTTTCCTCAAGACTATAATTTCAGTGAATACATGTCAAAAGTAAATATAGCTCCAATTTCAGAAAATATATCAGCCTTAATTGAAGCCAAGTTCTTCTTTTTTTCTCATTTTGAAAACTTATTTTATAGTTATATTGAAAACACAGTACTAAAAGAGTCTAAGTAAATAGAAATATTAAATTTATTTTCAAGATTTGTAATATGTGATGAATATATACAATAATTATTATTGGTTTATATTATAATTTTTTATTTTTATTTTCTTTAGATTATTTACGCAAATTAGTAATGAGATTAATTTGAAAAAGAAAGTGCTTTTGGCTATTGCTAATGCAACAAATCATCATGTAATTCATCAAACATTCTTGAAAGAAGTCTATATATTAATCACAAACATATGGAAGAGGAACATATATAGCAGAAGTTTATATAATATTATCTGAATTCTCCTTCGTATTCAACTTACCCTAATTATAATAATATGTTATAAAGAGATTAAACGATAAAAAGCTAAAGCAATGCAGATGAAGCAAGAACAGAAAAATCTAATTAAATGGTGATGAAATTAAAAACACTAAATATATCACCTTATGAATAAACTTAGAGTGGTTATCATTAATGATTGACCAACCTTTGTTGTGTAAAAGATCATAAAAAATCTACAAGAAATCTTAGATGTGTCTATTAGAATTTAAATAAGAAAATTTAGAATGAAAATGAGCTAGATAAGTTAGATGAACTAGATATAGCCACTTATACAGCAAATAATAAAGATAGTTTAGAAAATGTGAAGGAAGAAGAAGAGGTTATTAAATCTAAGATTATTCAGAAGACGTTAGTGAAAGCAATTCAGACACTTTTATCTATTGTGAGAATGCTTATAGAATCAGAAAAAATTCATTTAGTTGTTATATGTGATGATATCCAACATATTATATTCAAAGGAACAATATTCACGGAAAAAAAAAAGTTAATAGCAGTAAAGATTATTAATTTTATTAGGCTATTCATTCAATAACACACAAATGACAATAAATTCTCAGAACTTCATATTCTAATATATGCATCACTAACTGCACTAGCTAATGCTATTGCAACTATTACTGGTTTTTCCTCTCTTGTTTGTAAATTATCAATCACATCAAAGGACATTCGCACTTTACATTTTACGGCTGCTAGAGTGTACAATACATTTCATAAATAATATGATATAATAATTGATGATACAAATTGGATTATTAATTCTAATAAAGCAGGAAAGAATAAACCTGTTATCTTCAAAATATTTTTTAATATAAATAAAGTATAATCATTCATGGATTCCCAAGGTCTTCAATTTGATTAAAATGTGATTTTTATTAATAAATGGACAATATACTTGTTAGAAAAGGTAAAGCCTGACAAAGAATTTATCAAATCAAATTTTGAAGCAAGAAAAAGAGAAGGATAAAACTAATATCACAAAACTAACACTAATAATTTCAATATTAGATTGCTTAAACATGAAAACACTAACTGAAACTCATATGAAAAAAATTAAGAATTTGACTAAAATCTTAACATCTTTACGCAAAGAGATTTTACAGCTTGAACTGCAATGAATAGAGATCAGTTGAAAGGTCAGAAGATCACAATAGGATCCAGATTCTAATAATTACAATGAGTTAAAAAGAATTAAGCAAAAAATATCGATTAAACATCTAAACTTATCAAATTAGAAAAGAACCTTTCAACTGTAAAAAGTTTATTGCATTTTCTGAATAAGGTTTTAAATTATGCAAATACTGCAAGTACTATATATACTATAGCATCTGAAAATGCAAACTCAGCTAAAAAAAATTATTAAATGAAATTAAAAAAGAAGATTACATAGAAAAGGTGAAATTTATTAATATTATTGTTTCTTTATTACCTTGATTAATTTTTAACTCTTTGTCTGTCCTAAAAATAGATGGATTTACTTCTGAAAATAATGAAATATTTTTCTTTATAGCAGAAAGTTGTTTTTTCAGGAATAGATATGGATACTGTCATAACATCTATCATTTCATCAAGATCTCTTAAAATGATTCTTACCGATATAAACCATTTTAATATCCTTGCTTCTTATGAAAATAGCTCTGAAGATAATAAGGATAATCCAAACCTTACACCCTATAATTTTAATGTTGAACTTCTTCCAAAATCACTGCTAATCTCATTAATAAAGTAACCTTTTTGAAGAAGCATCAAAAAAAAATGAAAACAATAATAAAAGCAAAAAAATTTAACAGAAGAAACGAGCAAAGGAAAACTGGAAGCGAGAGATTCAAACTAAAAAAACTTATGGTAAAATAATAGCATAATAACAGAAACACATCATACCTATATTCAGCTTCTTTTCAATTCACTAAAACCTACTTTAATCCATTGTATTGGGCATTGGATGGGGATCAATAGCACTATTAAAGGATATTGTCAAGAAGTATGAGAAAAATTCAGAAACAACTTCATGTTCATAAACATATTAGCATAACCAACAAGTTCAATACCTCAAAGATTTGCTTATATTGTTTTTCCATACTTGTTCTTCATCACGTCTGCAGGAACATTAATGGAAAAGAGCAGACTGTTTGCCTTCATAACATGGTAGAATGCGTTCATCCTTGATGTCTGGCAAGGAAGTTAAATTACATAACACAAAGAAGGGACGCTAATGCACCTGCAAACATTGCTCTGTCTGGAGCATCGATTGTTCTAGCTGCTGACCATTGGCCCCTTCCTCCATTTCATCATAATTCATCTAATCAAACAAGGTATAACCTTGTAAACAAACTCCTTTCAGTCATGACACCAGAACTGGTTCTCTGCGACTCCATTTGAGATGAATGAATATGAAGTCTACTTAAACAGCTAATTTTGACGAAGTCAAAAAGTCAATTTGAAAAGGCTTATAATTAGTACCATTAGGTAACTTTGATCGGAACCAAAAGTCCGGTTAGTTGTAACAACATTTAGTTAGTTACATGGCAAAGGCCGACTCATTGCTCGAAATGATTAAAATCAGTTATCGTTACTGATCAACAATAAAACTATATTGTCAATTGGATCATTGGACCTAAGTTGTATTTAAACCATTATCACTTCGAACTTTGATAATTTGACAAGCTCCACCAAAAACAATTGACAAAGAAATTGTTGTAACGGAAACCGGAAGAAAACTCGGTAATTGGAACGTTTATCGAGATGTAAAAAAAATAGCTAGTCCAAAATTCATAGAACTGGATTCACAAGTTTAAAGAAACTTAAAATTGCGGCAAATAAGTTTGTTCGGCCTTGGTTGGCTGATTTATCCTATTAATGATAATAACTTGGTCTACAATTAAAAGTGTTATACCTCTAAGATTTTTCGGAATTATTTGACCCTGAGATTGTTTCCCCTAAATATTACGGCGTGAAAAAAAAGGTTAAGATATTTATTAATAATAATATCGATATATTTATCATAATAATATTTCACCCCGGCTGGCATTGTCAAACTTAAAGTAATATATAATAAGCACACGTTAGTTGATGCACAGGTTAGTGCACACGTGTTAACGATGCACAAATGTTGGCTAGCACACATCAGTGTGCTACCCACGCGCCCTTCCTTCTTTTGTTCCGACTAATAAATAAAATTTCAAAATGCCGAATTCTGAGGAAGCGACCTCAACTACAGCAGCATTAATAGAATTGAACAGACCCAAAATCCCGAAATTTAATACTTCTTTTCCATATGCGGCACAGCCTGATATCAGTTAGTCCATTTTTTTTATTCTTTTTTTTTTAAAAAAAAAACTAATTTTTAAAAAGTAATTCTTTGGTATTATCTTAAAAGTTCGAGCTAATCAAAAGGATGTTTATTATCAACGCGTTTTGGAAGAACAAGTAACCAATGTATTTCGAACGTTTTTTGGTATGTCTTTTAAATACTTCAAATTGATCCTTAATTTTAAGAACAAATAATCATAAATCAATTTTTTCTAGGGACGAGAATACAACATCAGTATCAAAAAGAAGTTAACGTGATTTCCGATCTATTTTATTTTGGTTTAACAACTTTATTAGGTAATAAAAAAAAATTCCCTAACAAGTTGTTTGATTTTCTAATTTTCTCTTTTTATTTTATTTGACAAGGTACTCAAACCTTAGGCGAAGAATACTGCGATATTATGCAAGCCTCCGAATCAAGCAAACAATTTCCTTCTACAAGCGTAAGCATCCAGTTAATTATCTTCAAACTTGATTCCTTTTATAACTTAAATAATTATTATTAACAATGTAATCAGAAACGAGCCACACTGATCTTTTGGCACGTGATCCTTCCTTATTTATACACGAGAGGTATATCCGAATTGCGTAAACGTACAAAACCTTCACGGAAAAAATTATTACAGAAAGGCAAACAACTTGAAGATAATAGCAGTAATGATAGCAACACGAAATATTTTGATTTGATATATAAATTACTTCCTAAATTACAGACATTCCTTAAAAATCATGTTCATGCAATTCATCTCGCTATATTTTACTTCTATGGTGCTTATTATAGTTTATCGAAACGAGTCACTGGAATTCGTTACGTATATATGAATTTATACCTTTTTATTAGAAATTAGTTGGAAATTATGATTTTCTGCTTGTTAATTTTTTATTTTCTATTGTCTAGATATTTACAAGACAATTGGGACCTCATGAACAACGTCTCGGTTATGAGATACTTGGATTTTTACTTGTAGTACAGTTTATCATCCAAGCAAACCTTTACCGAAGGACTTTGGATGATGGTGTATCCAATAAAGATGATGATGATAATTCTGAGTAAGCATCAAAGTTGATTTACGGCTAATTTTCAATAATATCTTTAATCAATACATTTACTACTATAACAGGGATGAAGCAGATTTGTCGTTCACGTCGACATTAGGATTAACGCCTCAAGAAATTGCAGCTCGTAAATGTACCCTTTGTCTTTCACCACGCAAGAACACTACGGCTACTCCTTGTGGTCATTTGTTTTGTTGGACTTGTATTATTGAATGGTGTAACAACAAGGTAAAGAAAAAAATTCTCATTTTTTTTTTTTTTTTTGAAATCGAAATTAATTAAATTTCTCTCTTGTAATAATAATAGGCTGAATGTCCATTATGCAGACAATATGTTAACCTTTCGCATCTTCTCCCAATTTATAATTATTAATTAAATTATTGTCATTTACAAAGTGCAATTAAGTAATAAATTATCAATTACTCTGGTTTTTCCAACGTACAAAGCACCTGACAAAATCGCTCCCTTTTCCTCTTCAATTTCTTGTAATTCCTCTAAAGTTCTAGGATCAACTAAAGATAAATAATCCAATTTTAATTCGAACCCCAAATTTTTTTCCATAACTTCTTTAGTAACTTTTTCAATTAATTCGTAACCTTTATTTAACAAGATTTCTCTATTCTTTTCACCTTGATCAAATTCATTTTTAATAGCGGACAACCCTTTAAACAATGTCGTAGCATAATTACGCTGATCAGATGTTAAATATTTATTACGAGAACTCATTGCCAATCCATCATATTCTCTCCCGGTTGCTCCAACATGCATTTCAATAGGAAAATGTAAATCGGAAATTAAAGTACGGATTACTATACATTGTTGTGCATCTTTTTGACCAAAAAAGACGCAATTTGGTTGTACTATATTAAATAATTTTGTCACTACCGTTAACACTCCACGAAAAAATAACGGTCTTGATTTACCTTCCATCTTTCACAACAGATTATTTTTTTTTAAAAAAAAAATTATATAAATATAAATTCATCTTACTATAAGAGGAGTATGATAAAAGAACGGTAATAATTAAATACCTGATGGGATTTATCTCTTACTTCAACAAAGGCACCTTTTTGTTTTTCGACGTCAAGTGGAATACCATATGGATAAATTTCTTCAACTTTAGGTAAAAATACAGCATCAACACAGTCCAATGAACGAAGTAATTCTAAATCATTTGAAAGTGTGCGAGGATATTTATCTAAATCTTCATTTGGCGCGAATTGGGCCGGGTTAACGAATATTGATACTACAACTATTGGACAATGTTGACTCCCTTGTTTCACTATAATCAAGAATAACATGAGAGAGCAATAAGAAAATTCGTAGAATATAAGCGTGGATTTAAAAGAGAAGAAACCTTTTACCTAGACTTAAATGACCTTCATGTAATGAGCCCATAGTAGGTATGAATGCAACCTGTTTATCTTGTTTTATATATTGTTGTCTCCAACTTCTTAATGAAGGTATGTTATCAAACACAAGTATTTCTTTTCGAGAACTCATTTTTTTATTTTGAATCTGAAAATCTTAATTCGACAAAAAAAAATGAACCAGGTTCCTGATCATCTACTTGGAAAATACTTATATTGATACATTTAGAAATTTTGTATTAACCGTCGGTAGGATATAAAATTTCGGTATAATACCCGGGTCTTTAAAGTGGGGTATTCAAAAAGGGGATATCTTATGTATTGCTAAAGAATAACATTTTAGATGCTTTTAAAGATCAATTCAATATACAATCAGACCTCTATTATAGTAAATGAATCAGGATTATACTAAAGAAAAATTTTAAAGGATCTCTATACAAATAAGAGCGTATATTTAAAAAGAAGTTTTACTATAATAATAAGTGAAAAAATAAATGTTGTGGATCTTAAAATTGTGGTTTTTGATTTAAATAATCAAAAGTTTAAATACAATAAATTTTATATTGAATGTTATCTGTTTTGTAGACCTTTTATATATTCTTAAGAATTAAAATAGTATAAATAATAAATCTTATAAAGAAAATATTAGCATAATTAACTAGTTATGTTTTATGTTATATTCTTTAATAAGAAATTTTATTAAGTTATTTAAAAATCTATATGTTTAACTACTTCTATATAAAAATTAATCTTCTTATATGCTTTATGTCTCTTTTGAGTTTTTAAAGGATCTATTTAAGAATACTTTTCAACTATCTTATCATATTTTTCTGATTT